TCAAATTAATTATAAATTAGCTACTTCCAGACCACACATGCAAGCAGTCAGTGTTCAATATAGTTATTATTAAATGTGAGTTGCTTGAAATTTGAAAAAATTCAAATGTTGAATGGATTCATGTATAATATTTACTCAGAAATAAGTCGTTAAATAATTGTATATCTAATGTTTATTTTATTTATTGACTAAGTAATTAGTTTTGTCAATTCATTTAATTTAATACATTTAAAAATGCTTAATTTAATAATTAATTGTAAAGACTATATAATAGCTGACTTAATTAGTTTATGTAATATATATAGTACAAACTCTTCTAATGGAAACTTGATTTGGGTGGAGAATTTTTCTAAAATCTTATCAATTCCTTTTGAATGAGCACCTATCTTGAATTAATAAAGGTTCGTTATATACAGTGTAAACTCTCCTAACGTACACTCCACTTGTACGTTATTTTTTCAGGTACGAATAATTCTGCTGGGTCAAGAACCAATCTTGAACTACGGAAAGTTGTTTACGATTAATATCCGCTTAAGAAAGTTTCTGCTATACTTTATAAATAAAATGATAAGTAAATATGATTAGGAGTATTTTTATATATTGAAACAAATTAATAGATATATGGCATCATTTATGAATTTTGGACAAGGCTTTGATAGTCAACAATGAACGGATAACTGATACTTGACTTAGATCTGTGGTAACAACTAACAATTTAAATGCTTACGTTATAAAAAGGTTTCGGATATCTAGATATATATTAAGATATAGAAGAAGAATTTATATATATAGTTAACCAAAACTTTTGTATTTAAACAAATCCACAGATATATGCTTAATTTATGAGTTTTTGGCAAGGTGTCGATAGTCTAGAAGACATAGATAAACTATATCTGCGTCAACAGCTCACAATTTGAACTCCTATGTTTTAAAAATCTTTCAAATACCTTGATATGTATTTAAAATATATAGCTGTGAACTATAGTGCTGTACTTTTACACTATGGTATGTCAAATGTACGTTACACATATTATTATGTTGAAGTTATTTTGAGCTGGTGCACTTATATTCTTTTTTAACTCGAAGTTTCTTCAAAACCCCTCTCTACACCTTGACTAGATTATTGTATATCACTTCATCAGACTAAACATCAGGCTTCCCCGAGAAGCCTGTAACTAAGTGTATATGTTGACGTCAGCAGTTGATGAAATTACAGCTTTGAGGGTACTGCGATCGTACAAAGTATTAATCAGCCCAGCACCATTCTCATCTAATATGACCCCATGTGACTATTTTTTGTTCTCCAAACAAAAGTGAATAACTTCGAAGAATGAGTTTCAAATCGATTGCGCGCATACAAACAAATTCGTTGAAGAAGTTGCGGGCCATATCTCAATTTGTCATGTCTCTATATAAGATATAGTTCTACTGGAAGTTATTTCGCCTATTTCGAAATGCATATATTTTACATTAAACATGTAAGAAAGCTGTTTTTTTTTTTTTGATTATTTTTTGGTTGAGCTTTCAGTGGTCATAGAACTGATTTATTATTTGTTATATGTCATTACCTTGTCCTGTGGAGAGCAACTTTTGCAAGATTAATTAAAATTGTATTTGTAGTTGAAATAATTTTTTTTGTAATTCAAACTAAAAAAAACCACTGTATATTATATATGGTACTTTATTTCAAAGTACTATTATGTATTTAAACTGCTTTTTATTCACTGCTATATTCCGAATCAAAGCATATTTTGAATTGGTTTGTGTATAGAAAAGAGGTGTTATCTGATTGCAATTCTACACACATCTAAAGGGGCTTAAACAAATAAAAAAGTTCATAAAGCTACTGAAATTGTAAAGTGAATGAAAAAATACCTTTTTCACAGTACGGGTATGTATTTGATTTGTAAATGGTGAAAATATTTACATTTGTGTGCAATTATATGTACATCCTTTTTAAAGGACATTACGCAAATAATGCCATAGAAGAAATTCTGTACAATACGTATGAGTATTAAGAGTCGAAAAAATATTTGAACTAAATGTCTAACGACGTTGTTTGCATTTTAGTTAATGTAAAAGCAGTCACATTATAAATGGACAAGTCACTAGAGAGATAGCAGTGCTCTAAGTCACTATATAACTATCGGTAATTAACATCAACGCGCTCAGATACAATTTGAAGGGAATTCGCTGAAGAGGTGAACTGAATTGCACGGGCAATAAGGAACAGTAGTACTGATTAAAAAGCAAGTAAAAGTAAATAGCACTTCATACTGCAAACGAATATACATTAGTTGCATCCTTTGTGAGCTTTTGTGCCACTTTACTGCGCGCAAAAGTAAATAATACTTTTTTGTTTTTTGTTTATTTGCACACTAAATAAGTTGTTTTCAGTGTTCCTCTTTCTTCACAATAAAAAAAAAAATATGCTGAAATTTATATTAAAATATACAATTTTAATAAAATTGTTTTACTTTTTTAGCACAAACACATTGTATGTTTTTTAACTTAATATTTATTCGAATTATATATAACTAAACACTTATTTACAAAACCTTATAAGGTAGTTTACACTGAATTGCATACGTTTTTTCACTTATTAACCATAGAAACCGTAGCCGGGATAGCCAAAACCACCACCATAGTATGGACGTCCATAGTAACCGCCACCAAAGCCAGGATAGCCGAAGCCGCCACCACCAAAGTATGGTCGTCTATAAAAACCGCCTCCAAAGCCAGGATAACCAAAGCCAAATTGACGTGCTTCTCTGGACTTGTCTTCATTGTTATTTTCAACTCCCGCATCAACTTCCAATAAGGCCTCGGCATTAGCATTTTCATCAGCTGTGACTTTTGCAGGCAGTACAGATCCTTGCGCGAGGCAAACGAAAACTGCCAAAAAACCGAAAATCAAAAACGCACGCATATTTCGTTTATTTAAATTTTTTTTCCAATTCAATATTAAAATTTTTAATATTACAATTTGTACTAATTTTCGCAGAGAATTTTGTTTAATGAGAAATGCCGGTCGCATAAGCGGCTTTTATACAAAAATCTTGCTTTTAAAAATCTAGATTTTGTTTATAATTTTGGTTTGGCCAATTAACAAAGATCGACGCAATTCTATGCTAAAAAAGTAAAAAATAAAAATATTAGAATTCAAAACAAAAAAAAAAACCAACCAAACAATTAAATGTTTACCATGTATTAAAAAAAAATGATTTAGTGTTGTAGTGTGAATAAGATTTCTGAATATATTAACATTTCTAAGCTGAAACAATATCGCAAAAAATACAAAAGATACAAAAGCTATAAAAGATACAAAAAGAGCAAATATAGTAAAATAATACTACAGAATACCAGCTATTTTAATACTTGTTTAAAATGAGTAATTCGAAGTCAGCAATCAACAATCAATTCTGTACGTGTACGATTATTTACGAAATGGTAAAATAGATTATAAATAAGATGTAGTTTAATTCTAATTCTGTGGAACCAGTTTATAAGAATAGATTTTTTAAAATAATAAATAAACAAAATGTTAGACAAAAATCCATTAAGAGTAACGAGTTTAATTTCTTCTCGTTGTGGGATATTCTGGAATAATATATTGACTAAATTTTTGTTATAAATTTTTTATATATTATAATATAATATTCATTATACATTATTAAATAGTAAGAATTCTTTATTCTTTTTTTTTACGAAAGGGGATTTTCTTTAAAGGAATTTATATTAAATTTTTATAGAAAAAAAATTAAATTTATTAGGATTATATATTATATTAAAAATTTAAATTAAACTTGCACGAAAACAAAGCTTTTGTTATTAGAATATTTGTTTTTTATATTGTATAATTTTAATTAGTTTAATTTATAACATATATTTATTGTATATATTACAACTACTAATCTGATATGAACATTAATACACATAAAAATATATAATACGTATGAATATTATCTATTCCATATTAAATGATGACTTTCAAGTTTTGCTAAAGAAACCGAAGCATCTACTACTTCTATAAATAGTATTAAAAACCTATTAGAAGTGATTTCGGCAAAGTTCTACATCAAAATTTTTGGATTGAAGTCATTTATTGCATTTGTATTTACATGATCTGCTTGGGATTGGTTAACAATTTAATAAAATTTATTTCCGCTTTGGAAAAAAATGACCTATTTCGTTCTCTTTCTAAACTAAGGTGATTAGTCCGATGATTAATCATGGTCTAATTGCTTAATAAGTATGCAATTTAGAGACATTAATAAAGCTTATCTTCTGATATTAGCAAAACACTTTTACCCAAACTACTCTACTAAAACGAGTAACTACACTACTAAGATGGGTAACTACACTACTAAGATGGATGGTTAAGATGACATATGGATGATTATGATATCTAATTCAAAGAAGATGTATACACAGTACCGATGGCTCGGATGATTAACGGTGATCCTCAAGTATTTTAGGGTCATCAACAAAGTTCATACTTATTATAATGGCAATACACTTTCATCCAAACTACTGAAATCTAAAACGAATGGTTTAGATGATATGTGGACGATTATGATGCTCAATTCGAGGAAGAAGTATTTGCTATAGTACCGTTGGCTCGAATGAATTCATTACACCCAAACTATCCGAAACTTAGACGTATGGTTTAGTTGACATACCTATGGACGATTATGATATTCAATTCGAAAAAGGTGTATGCACTATGGTTGTGGACTCTTGGTAATTTACAGCGACTGCACACAGTTTACTTAATGGATATCATTTAAAGTTTACAAACTAAGGTGATTCTTAGACTTAATGTAACATAATCATTTAAAAAGTGATATTTATAGTAATCTGATTAGTTTTAATTTTGTACATTGGTTAAAAAAAAGCTATACTTTTTTACAACCTTCAAAACCGTATTGGGTTTGAAGTTAAAAGAGTTAAATTTTTTGGGATATATACAGCAACAAACTATTCCTGCAGCTTTATGTTTCAAGATAAAATTTGCGAGTACTATACCGAACATTGTTTGTGGTCTTCAGATGTGTCTACATTATCTCAAAAGATGTATCTCTTATTAAAGAGATAGTGATACAGTGATATTAATTTCTATGTTGAGGAACTTTTAAGTCAAGTCAAAAATAAATAACCTAATATTTTGAAATAAAATTTATATAGTTTCACAAAAAAGACCATCCATCAAATAATGCAAAAGCTATTCAACTTCACTTAATACTAACATACACTGATCCTTATTTTATAGATCTATTGATTAAGTTATTAAAGGTTCTATGATTCTCACAATATTTATATTTGTTGGAAGAAGTGTCACATGATACGTTCTGATGTTTCTAAAAAATTACAAAGTATAATTCGTAAATGTATTCTAGAGTGCAATGAATTAATTTAATATTTTTCTTATTTAGGTTTATATATATTTTTTAACAAGTCTACAAATAAATTAATATAATTACTTAACAAAAACCAGAAAAAAATTGTTGCTTTATTATTTATATATATTTACGCTCTGTTTTTGGTTTGATTAAAAGTAATATCAATATATTCGTAAAAAATGTACTCAGATATGAGGTGATTCCCCTTAACGAAAACTTTTCATTTCATAAATATTTTTGAGAATATTCTCGAAGATAATTTGTGCATATAATTGTGCTAATTTTTAATTTTTTCTCTGCAGCAATAGCCGTGGGGAATGGAGAATTATATTTGTTAGTAAACAAACCAAATTGAACTTCAGGCTTAAAAATTATGAATGTGTCACTAATTTGTAAAATTAATGACATTGAATTGTAAATTGTATGATTTTAAAATAATTCTACAACATTTGTAAACATTTTTTTAGAGATACTTTATGTATGAAGTAGGTTAACCACTAATTTTATACTAATTAATACTAATTATACTTTATACTAATTAATAAAATATTATAAAAATGTTTACGTATTGCTACTATTAAATACTGGGAAAATTCCAAAACTATTAGTTGTTGTAAATTTGGCGCAACATATTACTAGATAGTGTGCTAATGACTATAATTTAATTAATATAATAAAAAAACAACTATAAATTAACTTAGCTCCAGCTTAAGTTTCTGTGACGTCTTCTATACAAATTTATGAATATAACTATATATATATCTATATATCTATATATCTATATATCTATATAATATATATATCTATATATCTATATATCTATATATCTATATATCTATATATCTATATATCTATATATCTATATATCTATATATCTATATATCTATACCATATAGAAGGCGTAGCCTCTAGAAAATTTTAATATTTTCAATTAATAGTAAATTTTTTATTTAAAGAAGCTGGATGTATTTTTCATTTTTGCGGTACATAAATCAAATGGGTAATAAAGGAAAAGAAAGAAAAGTAGACAAATGATGGCCTTTTGATGGTTGTTCTATAGTTGTAGAACCAAAAGTTGTGTATTTTTCTCCCCTCTGACCCATAGATTAGGTATTTATCACTTAACAGAATACATCAATGATTATATTAATTTTCTAATAATATTTACTAAAAGCCTTTAAAATACTTTTGAAAGCAAAAGTTTTTTATTTTGAATGTTGAGAAACATATACAATCTGTTATCATATTCCTCACAGCCATCTCAAATCTGAGATAATATCTCAAAATACAAATAGTAATTCTATTGTAAAGCTTCTGGGCAGGGTTCAGAAAAACACTGTGCTGTGCACAAAAATGCAAAACACCACGCACAAATGTTGTGCGATTCTAAAATTTCACACCACAAATGTGGTGTGCGAAAATTTTTGTGCACATCTTAAGTGCACATCTTGTGTGCACAAACGAAACGCACATTTCACACGAGTGTGGTGGAGTGAAATAAAACTCGCACACGCATTCGTTGTTTGTGCCGAAGTTATTTCGCACAGCACATTGTGTGTGCGGCAGCCAACTTGCCCTCGCACACAACGTGTGCAGAAAAGAATACGAGAAGCACATTTTGTGTGCAGGCTCGAAAATAAAAATGCACCCAAATGTGCGGAGACGAAATGTCTACTGCACGTTTGTGTAAAATGATGATTTAAAAGCGCACAATATTATGACAAATATCGCAGCAAAATAGTACGGAAAACTGATTTGTATTAATTTTGGTCTTAATGCGAAATATTTTATTGAAGAAATAATTTTGTATTTATATTTTAATTTTCAATTTATTATTAGATTTACATTTATTGCTTATATTACTTATTTTTTTAAGGTTTATTAATTTAAAATATGGGAATAAAGTTAATTTCACAATGTACTTGAAAACTTTGTTATATTAAATAGGTACATGAATTTAATAGAGAAAGAGTATTTGTTTCGAAATGTTATAAGTAAAGAGGATCGGTTCTACGGATCGTACTTTGAAAAAATTAAATATATCAATTTTGGACTACTTCATAAAATTTTATTTAATAGTAAGTTGTACACTAAGATTCGTTAGTAAGGTTATAAAAAGCAAATTAAATATTTTTTACAACAACATGAATTAATTTTGTTATTAGATTTCAATTAATTTTTTATCTTTAATTACAGCTTAAATTTAACAAAGTTATTGAAATAATTTTATAATTTAATATCTTAATTTCTTATTATAAAATATATAATTTTTATTACATCTTTTTTTGAAATAAATTTTCATTTAATCTTATTAATAACATTGCTGAAATATTTTTTTCACTTAAATTATATCTCTGCTTACTTATCACAGTAGAAAGGGCGCTAAAATCCTGCTACCTGTTCAAGAAAATATTTTCTTAATCTTTCGCGTTTTTTAATGAATGTTAGATACTCTACCTATATGAATACATATTTCTGGAGAAGAAAAATATCTATTTGTGGCCCTCCCGTATTATCTTTTTTAAAC